TTGAAAGCCTTATATCTCTGGATTAAGGCAAGAGTCTTAGTTTCCTTGACTTGAACATTGCCTTCATATGTCATTCTTAACGAATCAAGAATATCCTTTGTTGTTTCTCTATTAGTGATCTTCTCATACTCATTGTAAGAAATAGTGTTGAGAATAATATTTTGGCTTTGTGGTTATTCTTGAGATCACGCTTTTGTGCATCATTCATTTTGTTTCTGGGAATAGGAATATCAATCACACTAACAGGTGCTTCATAGCTATTTGTGACAATATCCCAAAGATCTATGTCATAGCCTAGAAAGAAACTTTCTTGTTTATCAATCCAATAGTCAAATTTCTCTCCATCAAAAACAGGAGGTTTAGCATTGTAACAATCTTTTTCGTTTGTATGAGCAACAACATAGAAGTTTTTCTCACATTGGATCTCTTTACATGGTTAAGTGTTTGATTGGAAAGTCAATAACGAGTCGGAGCTCATAGACCAATTAAAGGTTGAGAAAAACACAAGAAATAGAGTTTTGAATTGGATTTTCAAAAACTTTTTCTTTAGAAATGCTTCTCACACACAATCAAGATACACAAGTTAAGAAAGAAAAGTGACACAATTGATTTATACAAGTTCACCTTAAAGAAGGCTACTCTTGTCCACCCGTCAATGTGATTTTGCCTTCAAAAATGACATAATTCACTAATCTTAAAAGATTACAAACAACGTCTAAGAGTTTAAAAAAACTTTTTTTTGATTATAACTTTTTTTTATCTGGTTACATCCTTAATAACATAAATTTAAACACAAACTAAACTAATTATAACTTGTATTTCAAACAACCACAAGTGAGACAAAATAAATTACTTTCAACAAAAGCTAATGACAATTTACATAGAAAAAAATAGTAATCGGTACTTTATCTATGGTCATGGTAATATTTGTTTCCCGTTGGTCCCCAGATCAATGTACTGTCCTTTAGTCCGTTTCGCTTATCGAATGTTAGTATTTCATACTACGTTTAACTTATGTTTAGTGTCAACAAAATAAAGACAAGATAGATTTCTATTCTATGAAAACAAGTTTTGTTTTTTAAATGCTTAGTGCATAAAACGACACAAATAGGTACTTAGAAATACGTGACAAAGGAGAATTGAATTGGAAACAACACTAAGGCCAACCAATATGAAATGTGACATGACCAATTTCTCTTCCTAAAATAGGAATCAAGTTTCAAGTTAAAGTAAAAACCAGAATCATTGTTCAATATTATGGACTTATGGTGTGTGTATATATACAACATTTTTATATATGCATGACAGCAAAAGAGAGGAAGTGAACATCATGAACTTAGAAGGGAGTAGAACTTTTTCTTCAACACTAAAGATTTCTCAAATTGGGATATGGTGGTTCATAGTTTTAATCAATCTTGGGTACATCATGGTTTGGCTTATGATGCCTACAGACACCTTTTTTTTGCATTGGTTACCTGTTATGCAAGCAAAGACAGATCCAATATACTTTGGCAAACAAGGAACAACAGTACTCGTTTACACATTTCCGATTCTATTAATGGCGACTTTGGCCACTCTATACCATCAATTGATCCAAAAAGCTTCTAATCATAACACTAAAAGGTACATTTTTTCATGAGCTATTTTTATCCTGATATATTAATAATGCCTAACAAAACCAAATGTATTATGACTGATTTGTTGCTCTTATAATTCATAGCAAGGTGGGATTTTTGAGAAAGGCATCATGGAGAAAACCATTGCTCGTAAATGGTCCTCTTGGGATTATCTCAAAGACAGAATTCTCCTTCATAATCATGTTTGTTTTACTGCTGATTTGGTCTTTGTGTTCTTACTTACATGGTATGTTTGAAAACGCGGCCTTACAAGCAGCTAACGAGAGAGAGCAAGTGTAAGAAAATAACTTCTCACTCTTTTCAACTTGATTTTTCATGACAGTGGCATGTCATGATTCTGTCATACTCACTATCAATCTAAACAAGCACATAGTTTTTGAATATAAAACACGTGAAAACGAATTGCAAAACTTGAAGCATACCTTTTTCTAATGCATTACACAGATGGGAAGCCAAACTGGAAAATTCGGCACTCGCCTTAGGCCTTGTTGGGAATATTTGCTTAGCTTTCCTGTTCTTTCCAGTCTCAAGAGGGTCTTCAGTTTTGAGGTTCTTTGGCCTAACTTCAGAAGCAAGTATCAAATATCATATTTGGCTAGGACATATTACAATGACCCTCTTCACAGCTCATGGACTATGTTATGTTACTTTTTGGGACAAGACGCATCAAATGTCAGAGGTAATACTAATAATGTATGAAGTATTCGCAATGATAATAATTTGAAAGAAGAAAAAGAGAAATTGAACGAACCTACATGTGTTGGGTGTCTGATCTTGACATCGCAAATTCACAATCCAAAAACTTTTATTACAGATATTAACATGGAACAAAGTTGGCATCTCAAATGTGGCTGGAGTAGTAGCGCTGCTTGCGGGATTAACCATGTGGACTGCAACCTTACCTCTTATAAGGCGGAAATTTTTCGAGCTTTTCTTTTACATTCATCATTTGTACATTGTTTTTGTAGTCTTTTTTGTGCTTCATGTGGGATTTTCCTATTCTTGCATAATGCTTCCGGGATTATACCTTTTCTTGATCGACCGATATCTAAGATTCTTACAGTCCCAGCAGAAAATCCGGTTGGTTTCTGCTCGTGTTTTGCCTTGTGAAGCTGTTGAGCTCAATTTCGCCAAGAACCCAGGTGAAGATTATCATTTTATGAATCGAGTCTATTTGGAATCCAGATCACTCCATCCAATATGCTAAATTTAGGCTGTTGGGTCGAACTGCGACCTGGATAAAACGGCTAATATTTATATTTGGCTACATTTTAAGTAACAGTATTTTTTTTTCACTTCACAATGACAGGGTTGTGCTATGGTCCTACAAGTATAATTTTCATTAATATTCCAAGTATTTCTAAGTTGCAATGGCACCCTTTTTCAATCACCTCATGTAGTCATACTGATTCTGATACCTTAAGCATTGTCATCAAAAGTTCAGGAAACTGGTCTCGCACGTTATACCAGAAACTATCAACTTCGTCTCCACCTTCCCAGCTTGACGTCTCCATTGAAGGACCGTATGGACCAGCTTTAACTTTTTTCTCAAGGTACTAGAGAGTAGAGACTTGTGAAAATAAACTTTCTTTATATCAATTGAATACATAAGGCATGTGATGTACTGATAAAAAAAAGCATGCAGACATGAAATGCTGGTGATGGTGAGTGGAGGAAGTGGCATTACTCCTTTCATCTCAATTATCCGTTTGCTACTCTTTAAGGCCAACAACGAAGGCGGCAAAACTCTCAAAGTTCTTCTGATATGTTCCTTTAAGAAGTCCATTGATCTTACTATGATAGACCTCCTCCTTCCCGTCTCAGGCACCGCCCTTGACACATCCCGCTTGCAGCTACAGATTGAAGCCTATGTAACAAGAGAGAAACAGCCACCGACGAATGATAGAAAGCTTAATCAAACATTATGGTTCAAGTCAAATGCATTAGACGAACCGGTTTCTGCAGTCTTTGGACAAAACAGTTGGCTCTATCTTGGAACTATCATCACAACTTCTTTTATATTGTTCCTTCTAATCATTGCCATTCTAACTAGATACTACGTATATCCTATTGACCATAATTCTGACCTCATATACCCTTATTTCTTAAGGTCTATTCTTAGCATGTTATTCATGTGTGTATCTATAGTTATTGTAGCTACATTTGCTTTCCTCTGGAACAGAAAACAGAACAAGGCTTTGAAGCAGATTAAAAACACATCAACTCCTACAACTTCACCAGGCTCGATATACAATAAAATTGACAGAGAATTAGAGAGTCCTCCCCTCCAATCCTTTGTCCAACCAGCTAAAATTCATTATGGTGAAAGGCCTGACATAAAGAGTAAGATAATTTGATTATTTTGTTTTGATTATATTTTATATTGCTCTCCACTAAACGGCATCAAACCAGAAAACTTAGTGATCTATTGAAAGCTAAGCTACTAAAGTAACGAGATTGTCAGCATGTTTCCAGATATATTTTATGCGTCACAGAGAAAGTAAATTGCTATGTTTCATGTAAGACCTTAAACTAGAATATATTTTTACTTTCTGCAGAAATACTTTCTAACTGTAATGGATCAAGCATTGGAGTTCTTGTTAGTGGTCCAAGGGAAATGAGACATGAAGTAGCATCAATGTGTACATCTTGTTCAACAGATGACTTACATTTTGAGTCCATTAGCTTCAACTGGTAGCCATAAAGGCTCCATGTATTATTTTGTTACAAGTGTCCTTCTGATCTAAGTATGACACTGGATCTCTAATTTCTGAAACAATCTAAATGACTATTCTGTTTGTATTATGTAAAATTGATTAGTTACAATCAAATAGCAGGATCAACTTCATGATATGAGTTGGCATGATATGAACTCCATGATTAATTGTTTTAATGTTTTGTCTTATCGATTTTCTTAACAGACACCTAAAATATGACATTTGGATGACAGTAGTAATTGCCTTTCAAGGGAAAACAGACACACTCATGTAAAACATTCATTATAATCACGGGTCTAAGAACAACTTAAATATTGAGAAATTAAACCTTCATATTAGCAAAACATTGGATATTACAAAATATTGAGAAACGCAGTTACTCAGTACACCAAGATGGACAAAGATAAGCACTGTTGTTCATTGACCTAATTTGGAAGAAGGAGACATTAAGGTCATCAATACAGAATCCAACAATAATTGGCCAGAACAAACCAACCTAGCAACAATATTGTCATTCTAGGATTATTCTAAACAAACATAAAGGTCATCTCCAAAAGAATACACCAAAATTGCCATCACAAGAATGGCACAAAATATCTATCCGAATGACTTCATATTGTTACAGGGAAAATAAGTTTTTATACAATTAGGGTGAATCTATCAACTTGAAATCCACAGCTAAGTCATCCCACATTGTACAGCTTGAAAACTTTGGACTCTTGCAGTATACTGGAGAACCATGCCCAGATAGAGGCGGCACATCAAAAAACTCCTCAAAAAACTCCTCAGGAACCTCCTCCAATTTGAATAATGTGCTCTCGTACTGAAAGGCAAGGCACAAACAATTAGTTATATAAATCAAATCGGGAAAGACGGTACAGGTGAAACATGAGGAATTAGAAACAAACCTCTGGTTTACGAAATGCAAGCGGTTCAAAGGAAATGTTCATGTCATCATCTGAATCTGCTCAAATCATATGTCATAAATCAATAATAAGTAAAGTAACCAGACAAAATACACACGATAGACAAATCTAGAATTAGTAAAATACTATTTACCATCCTCAAGTCCAACAGTCTTGAAAAAATGATGCATGTCCAATGTTTGAGTCTGTGATTTTATACATTTCCCATGATCGTGCAACATTCGCTCTTCAGCAATTGCATCAGGGTGAAGACCTTTCCCTGTGAAAGAACTTGTCTTCAGACTGTTCTTATTTTTTACATCACGAACATGTGCCTTAGCTGAGTTTGAAATGTCAGAAAGTGCTTTCCGCCCGCCAGTATTTGGTTTCTTAGATGATTTGATCCCGTTTTTTTTCTCGATATCAATATTCTTCTCCTTGGCAGAAACAACTTCCTTATTCAGAATGATGGCAGGGTTGTTCTTGGACTTGAGCAGTTTTGATGTCTGGTTAATGGAGGGTTTAACAGTGTTAAATGAACCATTGAGGACTTTCTTTCCATCTACTACATCAACGGGTTTCACCGAGTTGGAAAGATCACCAAGTGGTTTTCTTCCTCCAACCTTAGTTTTCTTCTGTCCGGTAAAATCAATCTTTGCAGACACAGTTCCTGCATCTGCACCAGCATTAGGAATTAGCCTAGCCATTATACAAACATAAAAAAAAAAAAACTATAAACATGTGTTAAACCAAATGAACAAGATCAATACCATTAACATTTTCTTGGAACAAGCGAATAGTTCTTGTAGCCATTTTGGGTTAAAGTAGCAAATCTCAAATGAACACCCTGCAATGAAACACAAGATTCAAATTTTCAACCGGAAAAAAAAACAAGATTTCAATTCTCCAACACTGAAATGAAGCACAACAACAAAAACCCCAATAAGAAAATCTAGGGTTTTAAATTCCCTTCAATACCCAAACCTAAACCCCAACAATCGAAGAAGAGAACATTCATGAAATCAAGATTATTATTCTACTAATCATCATTGAAGAAAAACTGGAATTGAAACAGAAAATATTGAGAAGATTAACGAAAACTTACAAGTAATAACGAAATTTCTGAGACCCAAATTTCTTGGATTGTTAATTTCTGAAAAGTTACTTGCTTTTCACACTTTCTTGACGTTGAAATTTTGAGTATAGCTTTTGTAGTGATTTTGCAAGAGACAATGCCTTTTAAGGTTACGAAATAGGTGAAATGGGATTTCAACGGTAACTTGCTTTCTTTTACAATTTTCTCCCTCTTTGAAAATCTAAATTACATTTATGACCTACTGTATTGAACGGTTTCTTGTTTTTTTTTTCTGACCGTTGTGAAAATGTGTTTTGGGGAATTAGGAAAGTAGTGTTTTTGTTTTTAAATTTATTTATTTGCCTAAATTATCCAAAAAGATATTTCGTATTATCTATTAAAATTTTGTTTATTTTAGGAAAAAAAATCATTTTAAACAAATGAAAAATAAGCTTAATACTCAGTATAATATCTTTTTGAAATATTATATTGAAATATATATATATATATATATATATATATATATATATAAAGAAATTCAATCAATAATATTCTCAATTGTGTCTTTGTTTATTTAAAAACACAATGAAAATAAAGGATATATATTAACCATGTAAAATAATTTTATAGTGTCAATCAATCACGACTATGTTAAGTATTAAATTATTATATTATTTTTAAATAAATTATATGATATAATTAAATAATTATTTTTTATTGGATGAGAGTGTAAAAATTTATTATATTAAAATTTAGGGTTGATTTGAAACAAAATAGAATACAAATTTAGAGGTTTTGGGGACACGAGTATTATATTAGAATATTAGATGATTCAGTTTCGCCAATATCATTATAAATATTTAAATATAAAAAAAATCCAATGTTTTTTTAACCCTTAGGTCTCATCTACGTTAAATTTGTTTTATTTTTATATAAGCAAAATGGCATCCAAAAGGGGAGTATAAGGGATGTCAAAGTTTACAAATCAACAACAAAGTCAAGAAAAAAAATAACAAAGCAAACTACAAAAAAAAAACAAGAGTCTGGATTGACAAAGATCAGAGGCCAAAAACCACTAACACGAGATAAATTTCAATTGCCTAACATATAAATATTGCTAATGATACCACCATTAATGACAATAACATTAGGAAATACCATATCACCCAACAAATAGTCAAACTGAAAGACCATAACTTCTTCCTATTGGTAAACTTCCACTCGAGAAAACAATTTGTAACAAACCCAAAAAGAGACGACACGGTCGCTCTAAACCAGCCACACGCTTAACATCAAAACAATTTGAAATCGGTTAAATAATGAAAATATGGTCTAAGGTTTCATCAGCCAAAAAATAGATAGGGCAATACCGTGTTATGGGCTCCAACAAAAATGTGACGTTTCCCAAGCTCCATCCTCAAAGGCAGTTTGTTCAAAATCAATCGCCAATCGAAAATGAGCATTTTGCTAGGATCTTTGGACTTCCACAAATAATCCAATAACCATAACTTTGCCAGCTCCATAACAGAAGCAACCAAAATATCAGCAATCACCCTGCAATAAGATGAACGACAGAAAAACCACTAGAATTCCTCCCCCAAACAAAAGCATCATCACGCTGCTGCAAGATCTGATATAGTTACAATATACAAATAGAATCCTCATACGAAATTAAAGAAGCATTGATACCAGCATCCCAAACTCATCTATCATCCGCCCAGAACCTATGATCAGACACCTTCATCCTGTCGGGATCTGAAACCAGGTATAACGATGGAAAACAATTGCGAAAAGGCATCGAGCCCGACCACTGATGCACCCAAAAACTAATAACAGCCCCTTTTTTGAGTTTGCAAGAGATTGACGAGGTAAACCAGTTTTCTGGGTTGTCCTTCTCAACTTTACCAACCGAACATATATCTTTCCACCAAAGCGAAACCTTGGAACGAGCATTGAAAACTAGTTCCTCCAACATCAGAGTCATTATTTCACCATACCTGAAGCTAAGCAAGTGAAGGCAAACTGAATTGTGATCAGTTAAAATACAATATTTCCACTTGCTCAACAATGCTAAATTAAAACTCCCAAAATGCTTAACATCAATCCCCATTCCTCCTTTGGCCGAAAAATATTGTCCCAACACACCCAAAATTAAATTCCTTCTTATCTTCCGCACCACCCAACAAGAAAACTTGTTGAAGCAATATAACTTCATTGATAATCACTTTTGGAACTTTATAGAAAGAGAATAAGAATATCAACATATTGGACAAAATTGAACTCAATAGCTCCACTCTACCACCAATGGACAAAAACCTATTATGCCACACAGATGACCTTTCTCTAATTTTATCCATAATATGCGTCCACACCTCCCGGCGTTTTGGATTAATAATGATAGGAATACCAAGAAAAGTGAAAGACGGAGCCCCGATACCACACAAAAGGAAACCTGCAGCTTCCTACACAAAATTATACTCCAAGTTATAGGCAATAAGTTTACTCTTGCACAAATTGACCCACATACCCGATAACAACACAAAACCTCTAAGTAACGCTTTAATGCTCCAGCGACTTTGCCACGACCCATCTCCCACCAAGACTGTATCATCGGCAAATTATAGAAGCTCCTGTTGGATTAAAATATCCAGCGTCAACTTTAGGGATTCGAAGGGCTTAACATCCCACCCATGGGCGCTTAGTAAACTAAGTGCAACCCCTGAAAATGCTCGTACTATATGGAAATAAAATTACACCTTGGCTACAAGCAATTGCTTTTAGCTCAGTGGTAAGTGCTTGATCCTACAGCTCCAACCGTAAGTTTCCAACAAAGTTGAACCCTTTAAATTCACCTAACAACACTGCATTATTCACTAAGCCAAAGATCCCTTCAACAACCATGAGAAATAGAAACAATGATAACAGATATCCTTGACGTAACCCTCTTGAGACATTGAAATCCTTAGTAGGGATATCATTAACAATAACATACATGAACTATTTAACACTAATTGTTCCATCCAGCCCACCTGTTCACTCCAAACTCATTCTTTTTCATCACATAATGCAAATAATTCAAAGAAACACGGTCGTAGGCCTTTTTCGAAATCCACTTTCACCATCATACACCTCCATTTAAATCTCTTATCAAAATCCACTAATTCATTCAACGCAAGCACTCCATCCGTCATTTGTCTACCATAAATAAAGGTTGTTTGAAACTTAGAAATCAGCTTTGGCATTACCTTCCACAATCTCACTGCAAGAAGTTTCAAAATAGTACGATACAAGCTTCCAATTAAATAGATTGTTCTGAAATCCTCAATGAACATAGAATTCTCATATTTATGCACACATTCTCCAAAGGTATGGCACTTGGAGGAAAACAGGCAACATCGAAGCCTTGGGTTGCTCTTAAAGATAATCAAATAGAGAAACTCATGGGATTTGTGGCTGAGAATAATGAGAATAAAGAGGGACAAATAAAGTAACAATATCAAAATATAAACAAGGCTAAATACCCTGTTTAATCCCTTACCTATACCTTTGGGTCCACTTTAGTCCTTTTTATTTTAAAACGTCCTATTTAATTCCTTACATTGTCAAACGGAATTAAACAAGTCCTTTTTGTCAAATAATGATAAACAGTGTTAGACAAAAACGACACAACAACTGAGGTGGATTGTCCTCTTCTTCAACTTTTTATTCGTTGTTGAAGCTTGCTTTATTTTACCCCTAATCTAAACCTAATGTGAATAGGGTAAGAAATCCCCAAATTAAAATCTAATTTGTCTACATTAGTGCACTAATCATGAGTGTCTCCTGCGGTTCATCATCATCATAGAAAAACATAAGTGATTCACATGTACATAGCAACTTTAATCTTCCATGGAAACCTTTTTGTCATTGTGGAGACACTGTTGTACTTCGAAGGGCAAGAGCCGTAAACAATTATGGAAAGCTTTTTTTTGGGGTTATCAACATTTTAAGGTAAGCTTTATTCTGAATATTCTAGGTTGAAATGTCATTTTATTACATTGTAATTTTTTTCTTGATCTTTATAGGGATATAGTAATGTTGGTTGTGGATTCTTTGAATGGTTCTACGAAGAAGCTAGAAACGAAAAGGAGAAAATCATGATGAAGCAACAAAGTAAGATAGATGTGCTAACTAAAGAGATAGAGGAAGCCAAAAAAGAGGTTAAACTATTCAGGCTCAGTAATATGGAATTAGAAGTTCTTTTGAAGAACACCATCAAGTGGGGAAAAAATTGGAAGTTTATGTTCTATGTTGTGTTCTTTGATTTAGTATTCAAGATGTTGTAATACTCATTATGTACCAGTTTAGTTATTTGACATAAATGTGTTATTTAGAAGTTTAATTTGTATCATGAATTTGTTGTATCAGTTCACTTATTTTACATGAATGTGTTATGTAGAATTTGATTTTGGCATTATTTAGTTGCACTGGTTTAAACTTGCAGTGTTCAAACTTAATGGTTATTTTACATTAATGTTTTATGCAGTGTTCAAACACGCATAAAATCATATACCTTGTTCCACTAGATTAAACCTTTTTCAAAATAACATTGTTCAAACCTTGCATAAGATTGTTCAAACAAACATTGCATAATTTGTTACAGACATGACATAAACCATGTCTCAAAACAGAAATTAGATAAACCTTGTCTCAAAACAGACAAACATATTTTTTATTTTAAAAACAAATAATGTAAAATAAACAATTATATAAATGAACTTAGATTAGTAAAAATAACCTATTTTACCTAAACAAATAATTTTAAATAAGTTATTTAAAAAGGATAATGTTAGTATTTGAAAAAGGAAAATAATGAAATAAACTTTAAAAAAATTGTTTTGAATTATCTTGACTGTAAGAAAAATGAGACGGGTAAACTTGGGTTATGACTGCTGCCCCTATTTAATTACTCTTCGATTGAAGGGAGCGAGAATACGAAGTTCTCGCTCATTTGAATCTGAGGGTTATTAAATAATGGAAGACCCTGAAATTTGACCAAAGACTTGAAAATATTTTGAAAAATAGTTTAAATAATAAAGCAAGTAACAGTAATCGTAGATTTCGTGTATTTACCATAATCTAGGGGTAAATAACGGGATTTTGAAAATAGATAACTTATTGTTATTTCAAGACTAATACAATAAGATATATCGCATATTTCTCATATTTACCACAACTTAGGGGATAAATAATGCAAAATTTGAAAATAAATAACGTATTGCTGCTTCGAGACTAACACAACAAGTTATATCGCAATTATTGCATATTTCCCACAACCCAGGGGATAAATAATGCAAAGTTTGAAAATAAATAACTTATTGTTGCTTCGTGACTAATGAAACAAGTTATATCGCAGATTTTTCGCACATCTACCACAACATAGAGGGTAAATAATACGAGCTTTGAAAAATAACTTACTAAAGCTTCGAGACTAACATAATAAGTTGTACTATAGATTTTATATTTACCACAACCTAGGGGTAAATAACACAAGTTTCATTGTCGCTTCGAGACTAACACAACAAATTATATCACAGACTTTTTGCACATTTACAACAACCTAGGGGGTAGATAATACGAGCTTTGAAAAATAACTTACTAAAGCTTCGAGACTAACATAGTAAGTTGTATCGCAAATTTTGCATTTTTATCATAACCTAGGGGATAAATAATGTTGATTTGATATTTGATATTTTCATTTTGAATTTGAACAGTTTGAGTATGAGAAATTCAAATTTGACCATTTGAAAAGTTTGAACTTGAAAAATTTTGAATTTGACCATTTGAAAAGTTTGAACTTAAAAATTTTGAATTCAAAAAATTGAATTTGATAATTTGAAAATTTTGAATTTGCATCTGAGAAATTTAATTTTTATGATTTGAAAAAAAAATTGACAGCTAAAAGATTCGAAAATTGAAAAAACGTTTAACAGTTAAAAGATGATTAGGTTATAGATATGAATTATAGGTATAACGCCTAGTCTAATTTGATGTGTAGTACCTCTAATGGTTGTGTCTGTTTTTAACTGAGGTTGCTATTTGTAATAGTGTAAAAGCTAAGATTTGAATTTTTGATTGGTGCAGGTAACTTAGCTAGTGAAATATGCCTAAAGATAATTCGCAGTATTACTGGCCTATGAAGTTTGAAAATGAAATGTATGATTTATATTTATATGTATGATTCCGAATGAAGATTTGTTATTGATATGTTCTCCGTATGTAGATGTACCAAGTGTTATTAATGTTTACTTTTTGTAATGCTTGGTAAGAAGATATTCTTATGCAAATGCATAAAGTTTCCTCGTTGGATCATTGGATTTTCCATTTTGGGGGAACTGTGCTTTCTTGAGTTTGATCATTGAATGTGCGTTGTTGTTTACTTTGAAATTGGTTGTCTTTAAGTTGTTCTTTCGAATTTTGCTTTAAAGTTGTTCTTGTCGTCGACTTGAAGTTTTGCTCTTTGTCGTCTTGGGATTGATTTGAAATTTTGTGCGTTGACTTCCTTTATGAAACATGGGCCATATTTGAATGCTTGTCTGCTCCATTTGAGTGTATAATTGGAACCATAGGGTTTCCCTTCGATTTTTGACTTAAAACCCCTTTACCGTTTTAAACACTTTTGATTATTTATGCCCATATAGTTTTAATGCATCGTTTATAAAAAATAATTGTCATATTTACAAACAAGAAGAAATGATAAAAGAGTGAGAAAAAAATAGAAATGCAAAAGTAAGAAATAAAAAAATGAAATTTTATTAATAACGGGGTCTATAAATAGGCAATGATATAAGATGTAATTCCTTAAAAGTCGTGGTTACAAAAAGACAAAAAAATAAGAATGGAAATGCAATTGGGTTTCAACACTACTATATTCCTTATGTCCATGATAATTCTGATACTTCACTTTGAAGGATAATGATTGGTTTGATTCCTCCCATTTTTAGTTGTTGACGGGGAATGAGTCCTCTGATCGTAGTTTCTTTTTACTATGTCATTTTTGTTGAGAGAATCCCTAATTTTTTCCTGGATCTCCCTTTGCGGGTTTTCAATCCATCGGGATGGTTGTGTGTATTTTTATGTGTCCTTAATTTTTCCTAGATCGTCTTATGCGGGTTTTCGATCCACCAGGACGCCCATTTTTTCCTAGGCCTCCCTTTCAAGGTTTCAACCTAGCGGGCTTATATATTTTATGCATAATTTTTTTTGACTGCGTCCGAGTTTAGTTGATGTGGAAAATCTTCATTGTTCGTTGTTGTAAGCGTTGAAGTTGTTGTACCCCAAAATTCGCCATCTTCAGTTTAACCCTAATTGGATTATACTTTGTCATCATATGCATACATACATGTCATTGGGCTATACTCATAGAATCAAAGGTTTTTTTCTATGAGAAGAGTTGTGAAAATTGATTATTCCATTAAGCAGTATTGTGAAGCAGAACTTAGGGTTTTCCATATTTAAATGCATGCCACATGCGTTCATAGCTATTAAATCAACAAATAATCAAGTCATCATTATATCAAGCTCTTATGCGTTTCAACACGCTCTGAATTGTGCAGAAAGTCAAGTGTTTCAATCGATTCGAGACAGTGTAGACAAAAAATGTATGTTAGGATGTAGATCATGATTTGAAGAGGTGAATTTTATTGAATTGCTATTTCGAATGAAGATATATGTGGAATCTATTCAAAGTAAATAGAGTTCTATATTGAGATGCTCTGAAATTGGTTATCGAGATTAGAAGTTTTTCAGGATTAACTGGTTATTATCACAGTTTGCTTGAGATGAGGTCAAGTGAGACATGTTGTTAGTGAATGAGTTAAGGGAATGAGATGTTTGACATTAGTAAGGATGTGAATGTATTAGATAAGTGTATGAAGATGGAACTTATGCCGATTAAGGATGATTAAAAGACGATAGTTTTTGAACAGAAGAGAAGTAATGCTAGAGGAAAGATA